CCACACCCCTCCAGGTCTCACTGTCATTGCCCACATGAGCATTGAAGTCCCGCAGCAGAACAAGGGAGTCCCCAGAAGGTGCACTTTCCAGTACCCCCTCCAAGGACTCCAGAAAGGGTGGATAATCCGAACTGCCGTTTGGTGCATAAGCACAAACGACAGTCAGAACCTGTCCCCCCACACGTAGGCGGAGGGAGGCCACCCTCTCATTCACCGGGGTGAACCCCAACACACAGGCACCAAGTTGGGGGGCAATAAGTACGCCCACGCCTGCTCGGCGCCTCTCACCAGGGGCAACTCCAGAGTGGAAGAGTGTCCAGCCCCTCTCAAGGAAACTGGTTCCAGAGCCCGAGCCATGCATAGAGGTGAGTCCGACTATTTCTAGCCAGAACCTCTCAGCCTCACACACCAGCTCAGGCTCCTTCCCCACCAGTGAGGTGACATTCCACGTCCCAATAGCCAGCTTCTGTAGCTGAGGATCAGACCGCCAGGGTCCCCGCCCTCGGCCACCACCCATCCCACATTGCACCCGACCCCTTTGGCCCCTCCCACAGGTGGTGAGCCCATGGGAAGGGGGACCCACGTCTCCTCTTCGGGCTGTGCCCGGCCGAGCTCCATGGGTAAAAGCCTGGCCACCAGGCGCTCGCCCGCGTGCCCCACCTCCAGGCCTGGCTCCAGAGTGGGGCCCCGGTGACCCACGTCCGGGCAAGGGAACATTAGGTCCGTTTATTTTTCTCATCAAAGGGGTTTTTGGGCTGCACTTTGTCTGGTCCCTCACCTAGGACCTGTCTGCCATGGGTGACCCTACTAGGGGCATAAAGCCCCTGACAGCATAGCTCGTAGGATCATTGGGACACTCAAACCCCTCCACCACGGTAAGGTGGCAGCCCAGGGAGGGGCATAAAAAACATATGATTTGAAAATTATATATATTAAAAACATGAACAGCTACATTATAAAGTGATGTAAAATACTAAAAACAGGAACATGTCTGTTGGTTCATGCCATGAACTTAGCAGATGTTTGAAGCCATTTAACACTTTATTAATTTAATTTAATTAATTTATTCATTCATTTAAAAGAAACAAAATAAAAAAAACATAAAAAAGAAAACAATGAATGAAAGAAAGAAGAAAAAAATTCTTATATCTGCCCCTTATTTAAAAAAAAA